CGATTTGTTAGGAAATAATGAAAGTAATCATAGTATCAGACAATTATTGAATTATATTTAAAATAGTTAAATTATATTTAATTTTCTAGAATTATTTTTTACACTTTTAGTTTATAATTTTATTATAAATTATAATAATAAACTAAATATAAAATTGATTTAATAATTATAAATATTTAATAAGATTATTTTAAATTGTAATTAAAATGAATATCGATTTTTAAAATATCAATTGTAATACACTAAACTTATCTATTAAATTTATTTAAAATGATTTTTAAATGAAACATATTTTCGGTGGAATATTCTATTAATATTAATAAACTGTATAAAGTCTACACAATTTAATCGGTGATACAGTAAATAAATAGATGTATAATATAATTTGAAATGAAATTTTAATGAATAACATTTGATTCAAATAAAAACATTGAATATAATTTTTATTAAAACTATGAGGGACACTGGCATTATTGACAACTGTAGTTGAGGCATATGGTAGGTTTACAAATGAAATATGCTTGGTAAATATGAGCAGATTTAATGAAAATTTGAAAACATAAAAATCTTTTTTGTTAGTTATTTTGCAAAGTAGATTATAACAATTATATATTAAACTTAAAAATAGATTTGTTTGACTATAAGTTTAGTATACTGAATAAACTTGTAAGTGATTAGGATGGTATTTTGGGTGTCATATTGTATATTAATATTTTTGATTAAATTTATGACTTTATTTCCAGATTAATAGCACGATATGAGGACATTGGGTGCACCAACTCCAGTGAGGGCTAGGATGCGAACAGTGAGACATTCATTGTTTAGTGGACAGACAGCTAAACAATGGCAATGGACTGCATAAAATTACTGATTTCTGACCCATTCATTAAATATTAAAACTTCTGATTCATTTTATTTGTATATAATGGACTCAATTTAATAAATTTTTATATGAGATGAGTACAATTACTGAATTTGCTTATATGGTATCACTTATTCATATTATTTAATTATTTAATAGATTTTAATAATATTCTTTAAGGAGAGAGAGGAGAGAGAGAGAGAGAGAGAGAGAGATTATAAACTGTAATTACAAAATAAAGTCTTATATTAAAAATTTATTATAAACTTTGTCAGTTTTAAATATGGGCCCTCGAACTATTTAATATTTATTAACTTAGTATTATTATTTAATTGAGATTGTTTTTTGTTAAGAAGTAATTAAATTAAAAATGATGGCCAATCTCCTTTTGAGTTCTGAGGTTAGATACCGTATATGAAACAAATTCGGAAAACTAGATACTTTTCAAAATTAATAATTTCAAGATCATAAAGGTTCATCACCCTGATAATTAACGTTTGCAATAAATATTATGTTAATTCATTTTATGAATATTAAAATGTGTTATCAAGATATCAAATGTTTTGTTTTTGCAATATTTTAATTACACACAGAATATACAGTACGTGGTTGAACCTGTTCATTTAAATAGGATGCCTTATGTGTTAATTAGTTTAGTTGCTTAAAGGTTTCACATCAAGTACATTTAGCCTGAAAATGAGTACAAAACTAATTATATTCACAATCAGTGTCTATATGTTTGGTAAATAACTACTAAATTGTATACAGAGCTAATTTAAACTAAATATATTGTATTCACACCAATACAGGGCTGGTATGGACAGGCTGTGAACCTCAGCGTAATTATCAGCTTATATTTTACTCATAATTATAAAATTATAATTAAAATTGTCGTATAAATAGTGAAACGCTTTCTAATAAACACGGTTTACGACGTCTGCGAGGGCGAGGACTCCGCCAACTATACGGATATCCAGGACTTCGAGTCAGACCTTCAGTGCTCTTTCGGGAGCATTGACTTCGGAACGGGTCCTCTCGATGACGACACTATCATCGCGTGTTTGCCTAACAGTCAGCGACAGGTGACCACTCTTAAGACACTCGCCCGCTCGGTATACCCGGCCGGAGGTATGTATGCATTCACTCATGATTTTGTTTTAACAACAAATATCATTACAATATAAACCCCGGTTACA